CCCCCCCCAAAAAAAAAGACTGACTGACGGGTCAAAAACATTATACCTCACGCTGGGGTAAAATAAACGAGTTTGATTCTTTGGTACAATGATAATGAAAATAGAATTTAATGTGAATTAAATTTCTAGACATAAATAAGTAATGATTATTAGAAAAAGCATATAGGAAGAGAGAGTAAACTCCTCGTGAGAATTCCACATTCTACCTAAAAAATCTCTTGTCTGTTGTCCAAGTTCGACACATACGTTTGAGAGGGTATTCGAGAAAGTTCCCAATGTTCCCATTCCTGTGATTTATATTTCACGTTTATTATATTCCCCGCCTGAAAAGTGGGAGGTAATCGTTATGTCCGTTCGTCTGTCTGTTACGCTTTGGGGTACCCATCTCTTATCCGCAAATCCTCTTACACCACTTAGAGAAATTTAATGAAACTTTCAAAGAATCTTAAGTTTATTACAGATTACCATTATGCACCTCCTATTTTACTTTTTGATCTGACACGTATGGGTTTAGCGAAATATGGACTTTGTCATTATAACCATATGGGAGGCAGGGGGTATCATTTAGTGAGTTCATTGCTCATAATACATGTACGTCTAGTTTCTCTTTCAAGTTGGGCGTTTGGGTTAATTTCCTGTCCAAAGTAAAATTATTATTCAATTTATGAAGTTTCGACATCCCGCCTGAAAAAAATCCTTGATCTGTCCTAAGGCATAATAAATAGTACAGCACAAAGTGCGTAGGATCTTATACCTATCATTGCCCCAACGGGTGGTTACAGAGAGAGAGAGAGAGAGAGAGAGAGAGAGAGAGAGAGAGAGAGAGAGAGAGAGAGAGAGAGAGAGTTCAATATACAAAAGAATAAATAATAATTATCCGTATTCAACCAGTGTCAAGTATCCCTACCCTAGCTTTTAAAATTATCTCCCAAATTCACCTACAGAAATTATTTATATATATAAAAAAAATACCTAGACTATCAGGCAGGGATACTGAAATCTCGAAATACTTCCTGTAACAACATAATTTGTAAAACAGTTACATTCCTCAAAAAGCACATACTTTGTGGTCGGAGTGACACATTTTAAAAAAAATCTCATAACTGAATTCGGCAGAAATGTCTGTCTTCCAAGAATATTTAAATAACGGTCATGTCAAGTATTTTTGTATGCCCCCCCCCTCCAAAAAATCAAATGCCTAAATGTCAATCTGAACAGGGGATGGCCATCCTCCGTGTGTGTATGTGTTAAAGAATGTATAGATGTACACATAAAAATTTGTATTCTGGTTAATTGCTTTTAAGATTTGAAGTAAATTATAGCCGTATATCAAATTACTTTGTTTAGATTTGAGATTAGTACTAAAATAATCAGTTATAATTGACAAATGAATTTTGCGACGCAAACCAACTGCAGACTATATACATGACTTTGTCTAGAATGTATATTAGAACTACATGTAGATAAACAATTCACAATTATAGCTTATGAACATCAGTTATAATATCCCCCCTTTCAGCCGCGCAAATACCAAAAAACTTCTCTTTCCACCTTTGATATTTTCCCTGACCAAAATCAGATCAGCACGGACTAAGTGTATCGTCGTGCTAGTGTGTACGGAGTAATGGCAACGTGTTTACTATTGAGCTTTTATGGAGTTTATTTCTTTTTTGTGATGCATATTTCAATAAATGGAATTCAGGGTGTATTTCACTTGACTTGTGCACATCTTCGAACCGATGCAGTAACCTTATTACCGGGTATGGGTACGTTTACAGCGTTCGAGGCGTTTTCTCGATATGCATCAATTGCATAGGACCTGCGAATCACAGACGTTGGTTGTTTTGTTCCATTCAAATGATAAAATTTCAAAATGTGTTTGCAAATTTTACTGCTTTTCATTTCAAGTTTATTCTGCATAAATTGGCGCACTGTAAAAATACGTACTCATGCATCTAAATTTCTCTTCCAAACTTGCATTTTTTTCTTTTGATTCAAATCAATATTCATTCAAAAATATGATTATTATGTTGTTTATTTTGTTTTTGAAATGTCTTGATCACCTCATGTGTTCTCATATGCTTTACCATCGGAGATGTGCACAAGTCGATACCCAATCCAAAAAATCATTCAAGTGTAACGAGCGCATTGGGTATACATCGTTACAATGAGACAAGGTATCTGAAAGAAATATGGCGGAATACAGCTATAGTTGGTATGAAACAAGTCGTGCATAGAGGAAAATGTTGCGTATTTAAGAATTCATGTCAGCTTTAAGGGGGCTCTCTACAACGTCACAACATGGCGTACTTCCGTAAAAACGCCATTTTGATCCGAAATGATCAGATTCAAATTCACTTAACACCGATAAATCACTGAGTATAACACAACATGCGATATTGTGGATGGAATGTACATTATATTACATCAATTAATATGTAGTGTATTGCCCAATACGTATCCTTTCTTTAAAAATGAATTGTTTGTCAATTTATTCAATTTCTATTTATTTAATAATACATTTACAAACTTATTAGAATAAGATTTTTAGGTGAGAAAAAAAAAAGATATAAAACATGGCTTGTCCATATGCTAATTCATCATTACGAGTCAAAACGCCATACACTCAGAAATTTGTTTCTTCAATAAGCATATATGCTTTCCAGCAAAATATATCCCCCCCCCCAAATGCAAATTTGATCGGATAAGACATATGTATTATCTTCCTATCGACTAGAGATACTCTGTTCACGATTTGTATACACCCGAATGAATGGTTATACCCAGTGAAATTTCGCATGACCCAAACGTTTGATCAACATTGATTGTCAGCTGTTTACAAGTATGGGAAACGTGCAGGTATTAGACGAAGTGTGCATTTGGTTATAGGAATTTCTTTTACCGCTTTTGACCGTTTACCATCTTAACTTGTTTTGTTATATATAGCACTGGATAACACTTGCACGTTGGATAAAAACGGTAAGTAAATCTACCTTTCTCAATACCATGAATTCACTAAATACATGTCTTTGTCATTGACTGGAAACGCGATGATTTTCGCTTAAACTAATTGAAAAACAATACATGTACAATACGAACTTCTTTCAATGTCCTTGCGTGACATTTGTTTAATACTTGTGCAAGTAGAGTTTATTTGAATTTATATATATATATATATATATATATATATATATATATATATATATATATATATATATATATATATATATATATATTTAAAAACAGTACCAAGATATTTGAGTCCACTCTTAAAGCGGATCTCTCACACCTGAATTTTTGTGATGTTTATAAATTTTTGACTGTTTTTCAATTTTTTTCAATTTCTTTTTTTCATTGTTTTTACCCTTTAATATTATATATCTTTTCAGATATTGAAGAGGATCCAACCAGCTATTCTCAAGAAAATGCTGTTTTAGTTTTTCTTTTGTCTATTTTTGTAAATTTAAATAAAAATTATGTTGATTTTATTTTTAACTTTGTTGGTTATTATTTCAATATTTTATAACACTAAACTCTGAAGAGAAATTTAAAGCAATGGTCATTTTAAAAAAATGATAGGAGGGATTTTAACAAAATAAATGAAATATTTCAAATATTTCTAAAAAATAAACTGAAATACTTTGGAACCTTATTTTATCGGATATGGGGCCTATTATTAGAAACAAATGCATGCAACAAAAATCAGTTATACTTTACAGGTGTAGAGATCCTCCTTAAGGTCTATTGTTTAACCAGTCGGCACTGTACACTGTTAATCTTACCCCGTTTCCCAATGTGTATAAATCTGGTCGGATGTCATGTTTAATCTGATCGGCTGTTCTTCTGAAAATCGATTTTGAAATAACAATGATTGAAGACCGACTAGATTTTGACAGATAACTACCGCTGCATTATATAAGAAAAAATAACGAATTAATTCAAATTATTCATGATGTAAAAGTCAAACTTTGGAAACTATACAATTTTTTATACCTGTGTCCCCGACCCCCCCCCCCCCCCCCAAATGCAAATTTTTTCCAAAAAAAAATGAGAACATGACTTTTTATTCCTGGGAATTATGTAGCGGAATATGTTGTTTTTAACACACGAAATAAAAATATCATCTCTTTTTTTTAATTAAAAGTAATATATATTTTGTGTTTATGGATAAAGATAATTTTAAGAACAAATTGATTTTCGATAGTGAGAAATTAAGATATTTCACAGGGGGTTGGCCCCGGCGTGTAATAATATAATTATTTATTTTTTAAAACAAAAATCATATACACAAATAATAAAAACGTATGTAATAATTATTTATTTTTAAAAAAATCACATGCGGTAATAAGATAAAACTTCTTCTTTTATTGATACTGTAAATGATTTTAAAACAAAATATTAGAAACCTGGAGCAAGCCCCTATTAGCTAACTTTATTCTCAGTGCCCGAGATTTTGCATGTTGACAGAAATGTTATATAAAAATGACGATCGAGACAAAATTATAAATCACAAAAAATAGATTTTGCGTAAATGACATTGAAATAACCTAAAAAGTTAGATCAAAGATTCGATATAAAATGCCTAAAACGTAAAAGTTTAATGAGGTTTGACCATTTTTGACCATGAAGTTTGGACATTAAGCACCTTAAGTTGCAGCTTAATGGTGGCTTAATGGTGGCTTAATGAAGTTGACTTCTTTAGGCACCATTAAGTTACCATTAAGCTATCATTAAGCGATTGCTTAAAGGTGGTATTTCGTCTTGTGAAACACATACATGTACATCGTTGCGCCTTTGCACCATGGAACCAGTGAACGTCCCAGACGCTGTTGGGGGTAAATGTTGATGGACTGCGACCAAGTCGCACGAGAAAAAATGTCTACCTCAGACTGCTTAACAAAAACCGGAAGAGAATGGCGCAGCATAAATGAAGAACCGAAAACGGTACTGAAAAATCCGGTGGCGTCACACTACCCGCCTGACGTTTCATAACGTCACACTTATGATGGTGTAAACAGGTGTACAATCTCGGTAATAGGTCTCACACAAGTAATACAGGTTTCGTTTCTAATAGTGCGTAGTTCCACTTTCCGAACATGTCCATCCTTACTCGAGAAAGTTCGTTGAACGACTGCCATGGGCCATTCGTATCTTACAGTATCTGAATCCTTTAAGAGCACTACATCACAAACTTTGATGTTCCCCTTAGCACAAGTCCACTTTCGCCTGCTTTGAAGACTGTAAAGGTATTCTTGCTGCCATCTTTTCCAAAACTGGTTTGCTAAAACTTGAGTGTGTTTCCATGATGATTTGTACATGTCCTTCACATCAATTGCTTGAAACGGTCTATAATCGACGTCAGTCTTTTGTGTCAGCAATACTGAAGGGGAAAGAACTGATGGTTGCGTTTTATCCACAGACACGTTAGCTAATGGCCGACTGTTGATGATGGCACAAACCTCGTACATAAAGGTATTCAAAACATCATGTGTAAGCGGTTTCTTTGACTCCATGATGATTGCATCTAAAATTCTGCGAGCTGTTCCAATGATCCTTTCCAATAGGATGCATATGGTGGATTAAATATCCAAGTAGATCCACTTTCCACCATAAACTTCTTCACTGTTTGAGACTCTATGTTGATAGCTTTAATGTTAAGTGCATCTGTACTCCCCACAAAATTAGTCCCTCTGTCAGAATGAAACTCGGTGACCTTGCCACGTATTGCTATAAAACGTCTTAGGGAATTGAAGGCACTGGATGACATCTCGTCCACCAGTTCAATATGCACTGCTCTGCTTGTCAAACATGTAAGATTCCCAATCTTTTAGCATTAGCAACTTCTCCTCTTGTATTCCTAGCTGTTACCTCCCAGGGTCCAAAAGTGTCGACTCCCACATAAGTGAATGGTGGTGATTGCTTGCATGGAAAATCAGGTAAGTTCCCTATTTTTTGTGTTTCCACTTTGCGTCGTAACTTTCTACAAATTACACAGGAGTATAATAATGATGATACAAGTCTCTTGGCACCCATGACCCAATAACCTGCAGATCGCACAGCACCGTCTGCAATGTGACGTCCTTGATGTTTAGATTTCTGATGATAGTGTTCTAAGTAATCGTGCCACATGCGACTTCTTTGGAACAATAATTGGTCCCTTAGCTCCGGCTAATACGTCTCCAGTGAGAATCCTGCCTCCTACTCGAAGCAAACCTTCACTGTCCAGATATGGGTTAGACTTTGTAGCAGACTACCTTTAGTGACTGGTTTATGCTCTTTAAGTCTCTCTATGTCCTGTCCATAAGCTTCAAACTGTGCACTTTTGATAACAATCTTTTCCATACTTTGGTAAAGCTTTGTTTGACTGAGCTCTTGAAGCTTGAGTTTCTGGCGAATAGCGCTACGCATGAATGATAGTCCTCGAATTAAAGAGTTCCAGGTTGAAAATCTTGTGAACATGTTTGTGTTCAAACCATGATGTATATTTGTTTTTACAACAGTGACAGTCTTTTTGATTTCACAGTCATTATCTGGGTCCAATAATGGGTATTTTGAAGAATCTTGTTGGTTATGATCCAAAATAGTCTTTGGCCCTGTTAACCATGAAGATGTTGCAAGTTCATTTGCAGGAATAGAACGTGTTCCTACATCAGCTGGATTCTGGTCTGATGCCACAAAGGTCCACTGTTCTGTCTTTGAATTGGTAAGTATCCGTTGGACTCGATTTGACACATATGTATGAAATCTCCTGGTCTTGTTGTATAGGTAGCCTAAAACGACACGACTGTCAGTGTAGAATCTCATGTCGTGAATCTGAGAATCAAGCTGGTTTTCAACAAAAGAAGCTATCTCAGTAGCAAAGAGAGCGGCGCAAAGTTCCAATCTTGGGACTGTATGTCCATGATGAGGGGCCAGCTTAGATTTTCCAGTTACGAATCCTAGGTAAGTTGTTCCCTTGTTTATAACCTTGATATATGTGACAGCAGATATAGCCTTTACTGACGCATCTGCAAAAGTGTGGAGCTCATTCCTTTCAGCACTCTTTAAAGATACCGGTACATTTTGTCTAGCTATCTTCACATTGCAAAGGTGATGAAGAGAGCTTCACCATGACCGCCAGCGCAGGAGTATGTCCTTAGGAAGAGGATCATCCCATCCAATTTGAAGTTGCGTAATGTCCCGAAAAATAAATTTTCCGGCCAAGATGACGGGTGAAAAGGTAGATACGTCTAGTGATAAATTCCAGCTTAGACCCAAACTTCTCTGTGTAGGCGTTTTATGTAGATCTAAATGCACATCACTAACATCTTTTGCTCTGTCCTCTGGTGGTAAAGAATCCATGACAATTTGGCTATTGGAAGCAAATTTGTGAAATCTAATTTTCTCTCTATCTCTTAGAATCTGCTGTGTCCGTAACAGAATTTCTAAAGCTTCATTGTCTGTGTCATAAGATGACAGTCCGTCGTCGACATAAAAGTTTCTTGTAACATAATATTTCACATCAATATCACAAGGTTCCTCTACGCATCTGTGAAGACAGTATGTGGCGACAGCGGGTGATGGTGAATTCCTGAATAGATGTACACACATTCTGTAGTCTTGAAGAAACTTAGTAGGATCATTGTCTTTAAACCAAATGAAACGAACGAAATTTCTGTGTTCTTTATCAATGTGAAACATATGAAACATCTGTTCTATATCTCCTGTGATGGCTACACGTTCCTTGCGAAAACGTAAAAGGACACCTAGTAGATTGTTAGTAAGATCCGGTCCTTGTAGCAAGGTAGAGTTCAATGAATATCCTTGATAAATAGCTGAAGAGTCAAAAACCATTCGGATCTTGTTAGGCTTTTTGGAATGGAATACTGTAAAGATGGGAAGATATCAACATTCCTCTCCCTCCTGAACCTCTGAAGCTTCCTCTGCGAATCCATGATTAAACACATTTTCCATAAACTTTATTGCCAAGTTCATTTTCACAGGATCACGTTTAAAAGATGTCAGCAATGAATATGTCCTTTTCAACGCTTGCTCTTTGTTGTTAGGTAGTCTATCTCTGTTTGACTTGAATGGTAAAGGAGCTGACCAATGTCCGGTCTTGTCTTTATGGCACTTTTTCTCCATAATTTCTAAGAATTCTCTGTCCTCGATTGACATTTCCGGAATATTATCATCTTTGGTGCGTTCAAAAATCTGGGAAAGCTGAATTCCCTTCTCATTTGAAAAATGATTGTCTATATCATCTTGATACGTTGAGATTCTTAGATTTCATGAACATGGGGTAAAGTGAGTTCCTCGTCCAGACGGTAAAATCTGAGTCTTGTTCACAACCACATGTTGAGGTCTGTGTACTTTGCTTAAGCAACATTCCCCTATAATGGCCCAGCCTAAAGGAAGTCGCTGTGCAAAAGGTAGATTTGGATTACCAATCCTTTGCTCCAGCACATGATGAGCATTAGGAACATCACGTCCAATAAGAAGCACTTCCGCTTCATCGTCTATTAGTGGGATCTCATACTCCAAGTCTGATAAATGTTTGTATGGTTTCACTACAGCTGGGGTTGGGATCTCCTCGTATGAAATTGGGATTTCATCACATTCAATAATTGATGGTACGTATATTTGTTCACCACTCTGTATTGCAGATACTACATAATCAAAGGCCTGTCTCCCTGAGACCATGGCTGAACCACTGCATGATGACAATATATATGAAATGTCTTGTCCCTGGATTCCAAAGTTGTCAAAAAATGATGCCTTTGCAAGTGTTCTGCTGCTTTGATCGTCAAGAATCACATATGCTCTTTTCTTTAGATCTTCTCGACCAACTGGAAAAATGTTCACTAAGATAATCTTTGCACAAGATTTGCCACTGAATACAGGTGAACAGACTTGAGTACAGTTTGTTGTAAAAGATGATGGTGTACTGTTCTCCCCGCCATACGAATTCTCCTTATCCTCCCCGCCCTGGGTACTGTTAACATGTAAGGCACTACAATGTTTGTCACTTTGACACACATCACACTTAAGCTTCACGTTACAGTCTCGTGCTAAGTGTTCCTTGGAATCACAACATCTGAAACAAATTCCATTTTCCTTGAGAAGCTTTTTCCTTGAACCAATAGGAAGGGTACGAAACTTACGACAGTCTTTGATATTATGATTTGATTCAACTCTGTGTTCTAAAAGACATGGTTTTCTTTGCCTGTTGACTTGCTAAGCCTAACATCAGTTTTTTTTTAACGAATCGGTCCAGTGGTTTGGAGTTTTATGTCTCTCTTTGTTGATTCACTGAACTGAAATCCAGGATCATTTCTCACACGACATAAGTTTTGAACAAATTTCACAAAGAATGTAAATGGTGGGTATGGAACACTATAACGCTCCCTGTACTCTGAAGCCTTGGATATCCATTTCTCTCTCCACTGATAAGGAAGTTTGCTTACTATTGGTGCAATTCCAAGAGAGGTGTCATAGTAGGATAATGCTGCTGAATATTTAGGGTTCTTTTTCACACCATCAACTTGCGTCAGGAGATCAGAGAGTTTGTAAAGTTCTTTTGGATCTTTTGTTGAAAGTTGCGGAAAAGCAGCTACCTTCGATTTCAATGAATCATCAATGAGTTCGATAGCCCCATACCTTTCATTTAATCTTGACCATATTTGATGTAGTCCCTCTCGAGGATTTTCAGCATTTGCTTGTTGTATGTCTGCTGCGTGTTTGGAGGACTCTGGTCCTAACCATCGTACGAGTAACTGAAGTTCTTCAAAGTTTGAAATGTTCAAGTCTTTTACAATCGAAGTGAAGTTTAACTTCCATGCGTTGTAAGCTTCTGGTTCGTCATTGAAGTTTTTAAATCGCGACAACAAGACTTCCTTCCTTAACAGAAATTTAATGACCGATTCCATCGAATCCTTCTTAGGTTGAGTATGGGAAGCCTCCTTTGGTTGAACAAATTTGGGGTTCACCTGTGCTTCAACACTAGAGTCTTGTTCCTGAGAAACACTAGCTACATAGTCCGCAACTCGTTGCCTTTTATCACTCGGTAATTCATCTAAGATTGAATTCCGTACACTTTTACTTTCAGTTTCTACTTTCTCAAGCACTCTAGCTTCCGCATCCGCAATTGCTGCTGTACACGTTTGATCCAGAATTTGAATTTGTCCTTCGATTTTTGACTTCTCTGTTTGGAGGTCCACTTGTTTTCTTATAAACGCTAATTTAGTTTTTTCTGCTTCTGCCTTCTGACGTAACTGAACACGTTGAGACTTTGACGTTCCGCTGACAGAACTTCTAGTTTGCGATCGAGATCCTTCGGAACCACTTGCCCTCGATATGGTTTCCGCTGCATCCAGCAGGGCATCCTCGATTCGGTTTATGAGTTGGTCTATGACTTGAGAAAGTTTCTGGAACCTGGGTTCTTGGACAGAATATTCTTCAATGGTTTCTCTTGTGTTTGTTCTTTTAAGAAAAGATATAAAGTCATTTGCACAATCGGAATAAGCAAGTTTAAGTTGTTGAACTTCTGTTTTAAGTTTACGTAAGTCTTTGAAATTTTTTTGTTCTATATTTTCATCTATGTCGACTAACACTTCTTCAATCATTGACCATGCCTTTTGTTCCTGAGAACTATATTTCTTAAGAAATGTAAAAAATTGTTCCATGCCTTTTTCTGTCCTTGTTTTTAGTCTTTTTTCCTCACCTTCCTCTGTAAGAAGTGACTCTTTCTCACTTTCACTTACATCGACTGTGGGTTTTCCTTCAGCATCCATACTGATAATATTAAATAGAAATCAATAACATTTCTCTCAAAGTACCAATGCATTGACAAAATGATATGCTATTGAGAAAATAATCTGACACCAACAGATCACAAACATGTTTGACAATATAATATGGTGTCGATACTGAGCATGATCAATGTATATTGACTGTATTATTGTTCAATTTAAACAATGTCAGCATAATGTAATTCATAAAGTTACTGATATGACACAAATGAGATCAGTGTTTTGCACATATGTACACACAGTGTCCAGGAACACTAGAAATACCACGAAGATCCGCCAGCGCAGATTTGGGTCAAAAGAGGGGGTAGTCAGTTGGAAGTCCCAGCTTCACAGGCATCTGACATCCATCGTCATGATAGATTACAATCAGGATGGTTGAGGTGGTAAATAAACGATTTGTTGCTGTTCTGCCACAGGATTAAAATAAAAACGCCCAGCAGTTTTCATACCTTACTAAACTTGTAGCATGATGATATGATGTACGTATGGTAACAACTGAAATAACAAAACAATATTTTACTTATAATTATTAGAAAATTTAGAATTCACTCTCATACATATCTTACACACTATGCCAAAATTCCTAGTCAAATTTTCCGAAAAATGATAGAAAATAATTTGATACACATACAAACAAACTTTACAAATAAGAAAAAAACACATACATCGTTGCGCCTTTGCACCACGGAACCAGTGAACGTCCCAGACGCTGTTGGGGGTAAATGTTGATGGACTGCGACCCAGTCTCACGAGAAAAAATGTCTACCTCAGACTGCTCAACGAAAACCGGAAGAGAACGGCGCAGCATAAATGAAGAACCGAAAACGGTACTGAAAATTCCGATGGCGTCACAGGCACAACGAAATTCTTATAGTACGATCTACCTTTGGTCGTTTTCACTGACAGCTAGACCTTGTGAAGTTTTCCCAGAATGCCCGACCGTGAAGCAGAGCGCTGGCAAAAAAATAAATCTCCCTTGTCTTTGTTTAGAACAATCAGATAATGACTCGGGCTTTTCCGTCAGAAAAAAGGAAAAATTTGAAGTATTACAATTATGCAGTTATCTTTCAAGTGTAAACTACACAATAGCTAACTTTAAAGTGTAAACTACACAATAAATAAACAAAGTTATTCATTGATACAACGAAATTGTTATCGTACGGTCTATCTATTGTAGTGTTCACATTTTTCCAATGCAGAAATATTCAAGGAATTTGGATTAACATAGTTGCTAGCGCTCAATGAGAGTACCAAATCCCCCGATGAGCAGATATGGCTTTATTTGTGGCACCACAAATTAAGCCATGTGCTCATCCGAGGATTTGGTACTCTCATTCGTATTACGGTAGGCCCTGTTGCAGATCCCGCCATTTTGAGCAAGCACCATGCGCTTAACTCCAAAAAGTCCGGATTCGAATATTAAGTTTCTAATAGACCGACAGAATACTGTAAGCCAACTTTTATTCGCGTGCGAGAAATTTTCGAGACGTTCGCTAGGGCCTCGTCATCGCGAATATTTCTCGACGCCAACCGGTCCTTAAAGTATATTTGTCTATAAACAACAGATCAAAAAGGCTTGATCGCGAAAATGAATCGTCGCGAACTAGTTTATCTCTTCTAAATCGCGAAATATAGTCGTCGCGAATAAAAGTTGGTTTACAGTATATAATAATACACCCGGAGCATATAATTATTAACCCACAGCATATAATAAAAGAACCACATCATATAATTATGAACCCACAGCATATAATAATGAAATCACAGCATATAATAATAGACCCACAGCAGATAATTAAAAACCTACAACATATAATGATGAAACCACAGCATATAATAGATCCACAGCATATAATTATGAACCCACAGCATATAATAATAGATCCACAGCATATAATTATAGACCCACAGCATATAATTATAGTCCCACAGCATATAATAATAGATCCACAGCATATAATTATAGAACCACAGCATATAATAAAAGACCCACAGCATATAATTATAGAACCACAGCATATAATAAAATCATCTAACATACGG